CTCCCTCTTGTGGATTTATCTTGCAGGTAAAACTGTCAGCATTTAATGTGTTACTTAACCAAATACTCTAGTTTTACTTATCATATAACCTTTTCATGAGTGAGTGTCCATCACAAAGTTGACACCTTATAATATTTGTTTTGCAATTTTAAACCTTCAGAGATTAATATGAAGTTTGAGTTAGTCCTACATGTGCTGTACAATGCTACCAAGTGGTGGTAAACAGTACTGCAAATTCTTGAGATTGAAGGGTGCAGGAGCAGAAGAATGTGTCTTTCTGAAATAAATTGTGGATTTCTGCATGATTTTTTATCAAACTTAGATTTCTAAATAACAGTACAAAAACACACTGAAACATAAACCGTCACCTAAAGCTGATATATCTTTATAGCATTTTATTATAATAATTGTATGTACATATGAGTATTCATACATGTGTATGTCTGTAGTATTCTATGCTCCAAATGGATTTCTTTCCTCATGGTTTCTATTTAAAAATTCTTTTAATTTTTCAATTGCAATTGGCATACAATATTATATTAGTTTCAGATGTACAACACAGTGATTAGATATTTATGTAACTCACAAAGTGATCAACCCAATAAGTCTAGTACCATACAGAGTTTTTGCAATATTATTGACCATATTCACTATGCTGTACTTTGCATCTTGTTTGGAACTCTATGAGCTTCCTGGGCTTGTATGTCTATTTCCTTTCCCAGGTTAGGGAAGTTTTCAGTCATTATTTCTTCAAATAGGTTTTCAATTTCTTTCCCTCTTCTCCTCTGGTGCCCTTATGATAAGAATGTTGTTATACTTGATGTTGTCCCAGAAGCCCCTTAAACTATCCTCATTGTTTTGAATTCTTTATCCTTATTTTTATTTCTTTTACTGATTTGAAGGGAGAGAGAGAGAGAGATTGAGATTTATGCATTTATTGGTTGCTTCTTGTATTGATATGTATCCTGACTGAATTCTTTATTCTTTTTTTGCTGTTCTGATTAGGTGTTTTCTGCTACTTGTATTCCAAATCAATAATTACATCCTCTAATTCATCTAATCTACTGTTGATTCCCTTGCATTCTTCATTTCAATTATTGTATTCTTCATTTCTGGCTGATACTTATTTTTAGGTTTTCTAATTTAACTACACAGAAACTCTATTTCTTTAACACGACGCTTTCTCCTTTCTGTCTTCTTGACTCATTCTAATAGCACCATGACTCTCTTTCTTTTTTCCTCTTCTACCTTAGAGCCCTTAGAACATCAGGTTCTGGTCAGTGTCAAACTGATTTAAGCCTCAAGTCTGTTGATCAAGGGAACCAAGTTTTAGTCAAACTAAAGATAACATCTTAATCTCAGTTGTGTTTCAGCCCCAGGCCCAGGAAAGTGGAATGATGCTACCCACCACACCCTCATGTACCCAGACAGACTGGAGCCATAGCTGATATTAAAACCTGATCTAATAACCAACTACTCCCTACCCTGGCTCCAACAAATCAGAAGACCCTATGACCACAACTCCCTTAATCGCCATGAATAAATCCCACCGCCTTAAATCTGTGCCATGCGGGCCAGGAATTGAGGGAGCCAGGAATTAGACCATTAGTTCACCTGTGACTCTGGGAATGGCCCAATTTCCTTAAATAAACTTTTACTTTGGTTTGCAATTGTTTGGGCTTTGATGCAAGTAGGGGAGCAAACCCCTTCAAATTTGTAACACAAATTCCATTTTTTTTGTTTCCTATCTTTTTGTTTAAATTTTCACTGAATTTATCTACTCTTCCCCTAAGTTCGTTGAGCATATTTATAACCCATGTTTTGAACTCTGAATCTGGTAGATTGCTTCTCTCCATTTCATTTAGGTTTTTTCCTGGAGTTTTGTTCTGTTCTTTCATTTGAGATTTGTTTCTTTGTCTTCTCGTTTGGGCTGCTTCCCCGTCTTTGTCTCTATGTATTAAGTAGGGCTGCTACAGCTCCCAGCCTTGGTAGAGTGGCCTTATATAGTAAGTGTCCTGTGAGGCCTAGTCTCCCTGATCAACTGAGCTGAGTGCTCTGGGCTTTCCCTGTGGATTGTGTCTGCCCTTCTGTTGTAGTTGAGCCTTAATTGCTGTTGTCACAAATGGGAGGGATTCCCTCATGCTGATTGGTCACTAGAGGAGGTGAATGCAGTGTTTACCTGCTTTGCCATCTTGACTGGAACTCTAGCTCTGAGCACTTTATATGCATTAATACATATTATTCCCATAAAATCCAACAGGTAGGTACTAGTGATAACCCCACTTTACAGATGAAACAGAAGCAAAAAGAAAGGGAAGGGAAGGGAAGGGAAGGGAAGGGAAGGGAAGGGAAGGGAAGGGAAGGGAAGGGAAGGGAAGGGAAGGGAAGGGAAGGGAAGGGAAGGGAAGGGAAGGGAAGGGAAGGGAAGGGAAGAAAGAAAAAAAAGTTTAGGTAATCTCATCAAGATTACATAGACGTTAAGTTAACTAGCTGTGATTTAAACTCCAACAATCTGGCCCTGGCCAGTGTGGCTCAGTTGGTTGAGCATCATCCCACACACCAAAATGTCCCTAGTACCAGTCCACTTAGGGCACATGCCCAGGTTGCAGGTTCCACCCCTGGGCAGGGTGCCTATGAGAGGCAAACGATAAACATTTCTCTCGCACATCAATGTTTCTCACTCTCTCTCTCTCTCTCTCTCTCTCTCTCTCTCTCTCTCTCTCAAAACCAATAAAAACATATCCTCAGATGAGAATTAAAATAATAAAAAGAAGCAGCAGTAAATTTCAGAATGAAAAGTAAAATACCTATTTATTAAAATTATTTAGGCGGTCTCCCTCTGGGGAGCAGGCCCGCACCTTTTCCTTTCTCCTCCTCTCCCGCCACCCCCCGCCCCAGGTGCATTACCTTTCTCTTCCCTCTCAAAAGCTCCAAGGGCCCTTCTCTGCCTCTGTAACCTGTTTCCTGAGACTATGCAGCCCAGCTGGCTCATTCCTACTACCGCACTACCTTTCTAAATAAACTCCCTTTTATAATTTTTTTTTTTGGGGGGAGGAAGTATTTCAACATACAAAACAATGTTTATATAAATTGTGGATAATAAATACTTAGTGCAATCTAACATTAACCGTATGGGAATGACATATTGCCAGTTCAGGACAGTGGTTACCTCAAAGGAGAAAGGGAGAGAAAGTATGTCAGGCATTCAAGTGTATCAGCCATGTTATACTTTTTTAAGAAAAAAAGGAACTAATAAAAAATGGCTTTTGCCATTATTTAAAATGTTGAAAAACTAAACTCTGTCTCTGTGATTAACAGAAAGCAAATCCAACATTCTACCTACACCAGGTTGCTGAAAACTTCTGGTTCAAACCACACCAGAAAGCAAGGTGGTGTCCTCAAAAATGAATGATTTTAATTTTCTTTCTTTAAAAAAAAATATATATTTTTATTGATTTCAGAGAGGAAGGAAGAGGGAAAAAGAAATAGAAACATCCGTGGTGAGAGAGAGAGCCATGGATTGGTTGCCTTCTGCAAGTCCCCCACTAGGAACCGAGCCCACAACCCAGGCATGTGCCCTTGACTGGAATTGAACCTGGGACCTTTCAGTTCGCTGAACCAAACCGGCTAGGGCAATTTTCATTGTCTATTGGGATTTTAGCTTTCCAATCTCAAAGGACAAAATGGCTCACTTCCTACCCAACCCCTCTGTCACTGCACATCAGCCCATTTCCTATTCCCAACTCCAGGGTCCCAATCCATCAATTACCGCTTCACTCCAATGCTTGTTCAATCTCTTGCTCTTTATAGCCTGTAAACAAGATCAAATATTTGTTATTTTAAGAAACAAACAAAAACTGACTTTAACCTTGATACCACCATCTTTCTTTTTATCTGCGGCTAAATTTTTTGAAAGGGAACTCTTAATGACCTCCATCCATTTCTTCTACTCTCTGCGTTCTGGCTCCCACTCCTACCACTTGTTTGAAACTGCTATGGAAAGCTCGCCAGTTATCTAATTTCCAGATCCAGAGTTATTTTGCAGCTCTGACCTCACCTACCTCTCTGTAGGTTCTCTCTTTTTGTGATGTTCAGCCTGACTTCTAGGACCTCCATTTTCCACAGTCGTTTTGGGCCTCTCTTCTTCGGGCTTCTTCTGCGGCTTCCCTTCTCAATGCCCACCCCTTCCACTCCATCTATTATCCTAACTAACCTTACCTACCTTCTGGGATCCTCTACCGTTGTCCTGATGAAATTCCAAAGTTCTATTTCTAGCAGGACCTCTTCCAGACCCTACCTCATCGTATCCAATTGCTAAATAGTCCTCTCCATCTGGACATGCCGTAAGTGTCTCAAATCCAACAAGCCCAAAATGAACTCATTCTCTTTGCTGTGGTGCTATCTCCTCCTGCTCCCCATCCCCATTCCCTATCTTAGTCAGGACATCTGTCACCATCCTAGTTACCTTTAGGTAGGTCCTCCCACTTCCTCATGCACCAAATCTCAACCGTTCTGTTGCTGCTATATTAGTTCCGTCCCAGCTCATCTCTCACCTGTGCTATTGCCACAGTGTTTCTGCCTTCAGATCTTCTAACTCCAGGTTTTTCCTCAAACCATTTGCTCTTCTCCCTACTGTGCGATTTATTTTTCTAAAATGTAAGTGTGGTAAGTTCCCTCCCTTGCTTCAAATGCCTCCTTGACTTCCCTCTGCCCATGCCACAGAGTCCAGCTTCCTTAGCATGTCTCACAAAGTCCTTCAGAATCTGCCGAAACCGGTTTGGCTCAGTGGTAGAGCGTCGGTCTGCGGACTGAAAGGTCCCAGGTTTGATTCCGGTCAAGGGCATGTACCTTGTTTGAGGGCACATCCCCGGTAGGGGGTGTGCAAGAGGCAGCTGTTCGATGTTTCTCTCTCGTCGATGTTTCTATCTCTCTCCCTTCCTCTCTGTAAAAAATCAATAAAATACATTAAAAAAAAAAAAAAAAAGAAATCTGGTCCCTGCTCACTCATGCAGACTCGTCTGTAGATGTCTGGGGTTTGGTGCTGGCTGAAGGGTGGGCCTTTCTCTCTGAGCATGGTCTCTCACAGGAAGCAGGCTAGGGCAAGTTTCTTCACATCTTTGTGGCACATTGCAAGAGGGCAAGAGCAGATACTGTAATCTCTTGGTCAAAGCCAGTCATAGGGCCTCAAGAAGAGAGGCAACAGACTCCATATTTTGATGTGGGGAACATCTAGGGCACATTGCAAAGGGATGAGTGGTCATCAAACAATTTACACACCAATGATTCACAGCCATTACCACAAGGAGCAGATACTGGTATGTCGTACACTAATGACAACTGAAGATCCAAAGGCTCTACCAAGTTGTTTTATATGTATCCTTTTCTATAAAGTTGTTAGTACATTTTAAACAATTAGAAAAGAAATTTACTTTCCAAAACACATTCATTAAAAGGGGGCACAGAAGACTATTTTGTGTATAAGCAGTGCTCATAAAAGATACCAGACAAGTAACTCCAGCAACTCAGATGCTAATATCGGAGCAGATATGGCAGGGACTGGATTGCCTTTCCTGAAAGCTTCAAAGGTTTTCTGGAAGATTTACAACAGTTTGCTAAAGAAGAAAATGTTACACTCCTGCTTATGAGCAAAGGTTTTTATCTAAAACTTCTTCGTAGCACTTTCCTACATTACCAAAACAGTCTCCCGCCATTATTTTAGATTTCTTCCACTCCATGAACATGTGCCCTAACATTCTTATTTCTAAACTTTTGTACTTCATGTCCATACTCACTTGATATCCATTACTGTATTTATTTTACCATTTTGTTCTGATCTAGGATTTCTCCTAGATATAAGGAATAACACTGAACTCACATTCCCCCACAAGCTAATGGCACCCTCATCAACCTAGGCACATCCAAGCGCAAAACTCCTGTGGAGTCACTTTTATTTCATCCTTCTCACTCTCCTGCTAACATCAGGTTGGCTCCCTCAGCCAGCTGAGGTGACCTCTGAAAAATCTCTTCTGGCTGCTTCCATTCTTTTTTTCTTTTCTAGAGAAAATTGTTATGAGTTTATTTGAGCCAATCTCTGAAAACATGTGCTGGGGAATAAGATCACAAATGTTTCCTTTTTTTTTTTTAATCCTCACTTAAGAACATGCTAAGGGAGAGGGGAAAGAAGAGGGAGGGAGGAAGATGAAGAGAGAGAGAAAGAAGGGAGAGTTGCAGAGGGGAGAGTTGTAAAGGGGGGAGGGGAGAAGAGGGAATGATAGGGGACAGAAGCATCCACTGGTTGCCTTCTGTTTGCCCCTGACCAGAGGTTAAACCAACTAACTGAGTATGTGCCCTGACCAGGAATGGAACTGGCAACCTTTTGGTGCACAGGATGGCACTCAACCAACTGAGTCACTCTGGTTGAATGGCTACTTCCATTATAATCTTTAAGGATCCTTGTCAACTCTTGCTTGATGTAATTGTCTCTCATTTCTTCATGATTCTTTTCTATGTCTCATGCTGACATCTGAATTATCTTTTTAAAATAGATACATTCAGTAACCTGATGAGGAAATAAGCACAATTTATAGATGGAAAGGGGATCTCTACCTCCTTCTCTGCCCTTATGTTTGTGTGCTTACAGCTTGGACACCAAGTCTGAGCTCTTGGAGAGACAGAAGGAGAGGCATAGGGTTGAGGTTGATATGCAATGTTTTGTGGATCAAAATGTGATCTGCAGACCACCAGCCCCAGCAGTACCTGGGAGTGTGCAGAAATGTAGAATCTCAAGTGCTACCCCAGGTCTACTGAGTCACAGTAGGCATTTTAGCAATATCCCCAAATGACTTGTGAACACAATAAAGTTTGGGAAGCATTCTAAGGGACATCCCTTGTCCCTTATTGGTCTTACTTCTTTTATTTGACTACTAGGGTCCCTCGACCTGGCCTGCGTCTTCTCACAATCCAGGACCCCAAGGGGGATGTCAGGCTGCTGGTTTCAGCATGACCTTCACAGGCCAGGATTCATGCACCAGGCCTCTAGAATACATATATGATCTTTGGTTAATCTCTTCCCGCCCCCCGCTTCCCTCTGAGATTCATCAGTCTGTTCCATGTTTACATGCCTGTGCATTGAGCATCTGCCCGCTGGTAGTCAGTTCATGTCATAGCTACTGGTAGAATGGTAGAATGGTTGCATAGGCTTTTATATAGAGAGATTATTTTTTTTTAATCTTTACCCAAAGATTTTTTTTTATTGATCTTTTGAGAGAAAGGAATGGAGAGAGAAACATTGATTAGTTGCTTCCTATAAATGCCCTAACAGGGGATTGAACCTGAAACCTATGTATGTGGCCTAACCTAGAATTAAACCCACCACCTTTTTGGTGTACAGTACAATGATCCAACCAACTGAGCCATCCGGCCAGGACCAGCTGGCCTCACTTCCTATTCCAGCAGTAGGTAGGAGTGGTCAGCTATGGCCAACTCACTTATACATCTATGTATTGCCTTGGCCTCTTTGGCTTCCTGTAACTCTCACTCCTGCCTCTAGGTCAACTTCCCAAATAACTACTGCACCCAAGTCCATATTTTAGGTTCTACTTTCAGGAAAACTCAGGCTCAGGTGGTAAGAAAATTGAGGAGGAACTGAGCAGGCAGGGCAGCCGTGCTCTGGAGATGGCAAAATCATAGCCAGTGATGATGAGGAGAAAGCCAAGTGCATGGACGAGTGGTCGGCAAACTCATTAGTCAACAGAGCCAAATATCAACATGACAATGATTGAAATTTCTTTTGAGAGACAAAATTTTTAAACTTAAACTTCTTCTAATCCCACTTCTTCAAAATAGACTCACCCAGGCTATGGCATTTTGTGGAAGAGCCACACTCGAAGGGCCAAGGAGCCACATGTGGCTCATGAGCCACAGTTTGCCAACCACGGGCCTAGGCCACAAGCACCCACTTTGGAGAAAATACAGTAGAGATTCCTAGAGCTTATGTTTGGCAAAGAAGTGAGTCCCACTGAAACCGGTTTGGCTCAGTGGATAGAGCGTCAGCCTGTGGACTGAAGGGTCCCAGGTTCAATTCTGGTCAAGGGCACATACAGTGGTTTTGGGCACATCCCCAGTGGGGGTGTGCAGGAGGCAGCTGATCGATGTTTCTCTCTCATCGATGTTTCTCTCTCGATGTTTCTAGCTCTCTATTCCTCTTCCTTCCTCTCTGTAAAAAAATCAATAAAATATATTTTGAAGAAGAAGAAGAAGAAGAAGAAGAAGAAGAAGAAGAAGAAGAAGAAGAAGAAGGAGAAGAAGTGTCCCATTCAAGGTTGTCAGCGCTCAAGGCAGGGCCAGCTTTTGAGTCTAAGATCTGTACAGTCTCAAAGAGCCCCCCACAGAGAAGGACCCCATACTTGGCTTAATGCTCAGCTGTCACCATCTTGGATTTCTTAATTTTTTAACAATGGCTCTGCATTTTCATTTGCACTGGGCCCTGCAAATTACTAGTATCTAACTAAAGAAACAGCAAAGTTGAGGCAATAGGCTGAGAGAATTTTTTAGGACACCATAAGGTCCCAGAACTCTTATATGATCCTAATGGAGTTGGGAAGGTGGGGAGAACTCCTCCCCAACACAACCATTTCAAAAACACTGTTTTGGGTGGGTGGGTTTGTTTTTTTTCCAATTGTAGTAAATCGGGGATGAAACAAAATTGATTTTATTTTGGAACACAAAAGAATGAAACATTTCTTGCACTTCAGGTGTTACAGAGAAAATTCTTACCTCTTCCATGAAAATGTTATTTCTACTTAAAATTCTGTAGTGATTCTCCATTACACAGAAACTAAAGCACAAACCCTGTAATAAAGCACTCAAGGTTTTCTTTTCTTTTTTTTTAAAGGAAGAAGCAAGTTTAACTGAGTGTTCTAGGACAAGAGTCAAGTAAATCAATACCTTGCAAATTGCTAGCACTCAGAGGTTGGTGGGTCATTGTTACGCCCAGACTTCGTGATCCCCAAGGACCACCAGGGAGCCGAGTCCGATGCAATAAACAAAAGAGCCTCTTCCATGCTAGCATGGGCTCTGTCCCACTCACGCCGGCAGCATGGCGGAAGAGAGAGCGAATTTTGCCCAGCCCAGGGGTTTTACTCCGGTCAGTGGTGATGTCACTGCCTCGGCTAACCCCAATTGGTTGGGTGAGGGCTAGGGTTCAGTTACAAAATGGAGGATAACTCCGCCCTGCCCCACAGTGGAGTCAGGAGTTTGTCCTCGCAGCACTCAAGGTTTTCATGATGGAACACCACTCTAGTCCTGCTGGCCACTAAATTCTCTATTATCGATAGATCTTAAACTCTAGTCCCAGTAGTAAGTCTTCCCTACACCTTGTCCCCCATCCACCCAGATTCCATACCCAACTCTAAAAAGCTGATTACTGACATTAATTTCTTGTAAGAATTCAGAAAATTTAAACATTTACACAAGCAAATAATATATACTTTGTTTTCCTTTCTTACACAAAAAATAGCATACTGTACTCACTGGCTATCCACTCTTTTACTTATGCTACTGCCCATGGCCTGGGATGTTTTTCTATTCTGTCTTCACTACTAAGTCAAGCAGTCTTCAACACCATTGCAAATATCTCTCCTAGAACCATTCCCAAATCCCACTAGTTGCCATTAAAAATTATGTTCCTGGAAAATTAAACAGGAACTTTATAATTAAACTGTTCTTAGTTATTTAATACCTCAAAGTATCTTGGTTCTTATTTGCCATAACAAAAGACAATCAAACCATATACAATTGCTGTTCTTTAACAGTTTTGACTTAAAAATGGCATTTCATGAGTAATCTAATAGATTTACATTTAAATCGGATTTCCCCCCTACCTCATTAGTTTTCTATAGGATTCTTTCTTTTCCTACCAGGAAGCATAACGTTTGGTGACTATATTCTTTTATTCTTGCACTTCCCATCAATAATATTAACCTTGCACAAATCTAAGATCTTTCTATGCCTTTTATTTCTATATAACGTATGGTTCTTACTCAAGAGCAATGACCCTTTTTTTACTACCTCAGCCTTCCTTTTCACTAATACAACCTGTACACATTCTTATCAACTTTATAACCCACTGCTTCGATAAGCAAGGCATGTAGTCACTCAGACATTGCAGGCTGGTGTTGCTTCCACTTATGATTCTCCTGCTCTGCTTGCTACTTCTGAAGGAGGATATAACAGCAGCACTTGATGCATCACACAAATCATGCTCTCTATTAATTAATCAGCTCATAACTAATTAATGTTAGGAAAATGTGTGCTGAAGTTCTGCTCTTGCAGACGAAGTCTCAGTGCTCAATGGGCAGCATGCCTTCCAGATCTGAGCTCATAGCCAAAAAATCCAATCACCAAAAGGCAAGAAAAGAAGACGGGTCGAATTAGAAAATGTTTGGACAAGAATTCTGATGGTCTTGCCTGACATCATATGCCCATCACTGGACCAGTCACTGTGGCCAGAGGGATAGAATAATATTATTGCCCACTTTATAACCAATAGCCAGGTTATCAACAGATGACGATGAGGAGGAGAAGGCATCCAGACTAGACAAGAATACTAATTATCACTCCATGTTAAATCGAAACCGATCCTCCTAACTGCACCTTCACCACTGGGTTTGTTTGCCTCTTGTGTTATAAAAATATCTGTCACATACTTGTTATAGAAAACAACTTAAATCTCTTTCCCACAAGAAACCCTTCAAATAGGTTAACAGTGCATGTGTCCTTCCTGTTTCTTCCCTTCTCCAGCCATTGACTTAACTGCTGGTTTCCTCCTGGGTGTCTGGCCATTCCTTCCTTTTCTCCTTCTCTCCCCCTTCTTCCCTGGCCCTTTCCCTACCCTAGGATATTGGCCTCCTCTGAACTTTCCTTAGCTCTCTTCTCTTCACTATGCACATTCTCCTGGGTCAAGTATACATAACTCACTGCTCTATCACTAGCATACCACTCAGCATTTCCTATGCCTCCAAACTCTTTAACGTTCCATGTTTTGTTTTTTCTTT